AGATCATGTAGATCATGAAATTTAAGTTACACGATAACAGAAAACTTCTGAAACCTTTCACGAAAAAAGTTCTCGGAGTTTATAAATCTTTTTAACCTAGGAAATATCCAGATTTTTAAATCTACTGTTACCTGCATCTTTACGATCTGCAATTGTGCAGGATCTGATCTGAACTGAGACTTTTATTTCAACTGCAACAATAAACAGTAGAGGAGATTGTAGGTTCGTACCCATATAAGCAATGAGGAATTAGAGTAGCCTGCGGACTCTTAATTGAAGCTCTTGATTTTAATATTAGAATTTTCCATTAATGACTTTCTGGCTAAACTGATTAGGTCACGTCGTAAAACAGTAAAAAAAAGTAAATTAAAGTGTCAATATACTGTTCATTCACTGGGAAATCTATGCCCAGTAAAGGAACATGCCTGTTCCCTCACTGGTTAGAAGTTGTTTTTCGTATTTTTAACATACTTTTGATGCGGAACATCACTAAAGGTACAAGAAAATTAAAGTTTATCTTTTATTTTCATTAACTTAGAAAAAAACTCAGTAAAGGAACACTTGTTCCTTCACTGGTTTTTCATTGTTTGGTGATCTAGTGAGTAAACACCCACTTATCTCAGTACTTAATTACGCTATGATGCTTAAGAAAATAAAACGTAACTTCAATAACTATATTTTGAATTCTCTTTTTCACAGTGAGAAAAATAAAGCTATTACATGCAATTGATTCTCCTTCAAACCTATAAATACAAACACTCACCTTATAATTTTTTCAAAGAAACAAGGTGTTGCAGAGATAATAACAAATTCAAAAATTTTTCCAGAGAAGTCTATTTGACCAGGTAATCCAAAACATTGCTAGATGACTTCCTATTGTTTGACAGTAAGCTATTGTTACCAATCAATCTAAAGAAAAACTTTCAAATTCTTATTTTTAATCAAATAAATGAAATGTTCCTTCACTGGGTAGTGTTCCTTCACTCGTTGGTTTACCATATTTGGTAATCGAATTACACAACTGGTTTTTAAATGTAGAACAAAGCGAATTTATAGATTAATCATCAAATATTAAAGAATAACTCAATGAATCTTCGACACAGCAAAGGAGCTTTTCTGTCCAATTGATTGGCGAATCAATGATTGAACGGATCAAAATATCAATAATTTAGTACATAGACTAATTTCTTTTATCAACAAATTTGTTTAATTTATCAACTTTTTCGTTGATAAATTCATAATTTGGTTTTCTAATTGATTCTTCGCGTCGTTTCAATGACTTGCTGAATTACAGGTTTTTATCATTTCACTGATTCATTCGTAGACTAAATTATGTAATCTGGCTAATATGAGTGGATTTTATACGCTAGTTTGCAAATTCTTAGGATCTGTTAATTATAGTGATTTGTTGATTAGTTGATCAGTCGATTTGTTGATTGATTAATCCATTTGCTTTTTCGTTAATAAATTCATAATTTCGTTTTACAATAGATTCCTCGCGTCGTTTCAGACTTGCTGAATTACATGTTTTTATCATTTCACTGATTCATTTGTAGACTAAATTATGTAATCTGGCTAATATGAGTGGATTTTATACGCTAGTTTGCAAATTCTTAGGATCTGTTAATTATAGTGATTTGTTGATTAGTTGATCAGTCGATTTGTTGAGTAATCAATTTGCTTTTTCGTTAATAAATTCATAATTTCGTTTTATAATTGATTCCTCGCGTCGTTTCAACGACTTGCTGAATTACAGGCTTTTATCATTTCACTGATTCATTCATATACTAAATTATGTAATCTGGCTAATATGAGTGGATTTTATACGCTAGTTTGCAAATTCTTAGGATCTGTTAATTATAGTGATTTGTTGATTAGTTGATCAGTCGATTTGTTGATTAATCCATTTGCTTTTTCGTTAATAAATTCATAATTTCGTTTTATAATAGATTCCTCGCGTCGTTTCAACGACTTGCTGAATTACAGGTTTTTATCATTTCACTGATTCATTCGTAGACTAAATTATGTAATCTGGCTAATATGTGTGAACTAAGTAAGATTTCAATAAAATTTGCAGTAAACAGTTTTTTTTTTGCTCCATTTTTTTTTCCGTAGAAAGAACTTGCAGTTATGAACGCTTTAAGGCATTTCGCGAATTAATAGAATATAATAGAAGTTTTTGATAGAGGATTTAATAGAAGATTTTGAGCTGTTAACAATATTTTTTACAAAAGTCACTTAAAATGATATATTTTTTAAATTTTTATAATGGATGATTATTAAAAGTAAAATCAAGATTGAATCTCATTGATAATTGTAAAATATCATTGACACCTATTTTGTTATCGTGTTTACTTGCTTGGAATTTTTTTTATTCATTTAATAGATGAAAGGATCTATTATTGCTCTATTATCTAAAAAAATAAGTATCTATGATAATGCTTCTCAAAAGTCACTTTTAAAACATTTTCTGATTCTTGAGGAAATCTTAAAAATAGCCTCCAAGCTTTGAACAATGGCCGAAAATGCGACTTTTATTTAGAAATATGCAGCTTTGAAGAAAAAGTAAACTCATGAACATGATAAAATATTTAACGAAAAATCAATTAAACTTAATGTTTTTTTTATTCATTTTAACTTATAACTAAATGATAAATTTTAATTTTTAGCATTTTTTTCTGCATAGTGTAGGGCATTTTTATAGAGTATTTTTTCTCATATTGCTCATGATCATGAAATAAAATCTAGATTCAAATAATACGATACTTATATGCCATAAATTTGTCCGAAAGGTTACTCGAATTTCTTACATTGCTTATAGTTTTTCATTGTGATTAAAAACTCCGATTAACTACCCTAGCAGCTAAATAACTTATCCCTGGACCAATATTTACGAATCTTGGCTCAACGATTTACCCGATATTTTAAAGCTACTTTACAACCAGCATCAACCCTATAAAGAATTATCAGATTCACCCGATATTTTATATTCATTAACTAGCCAATATAGGCCATATATTAACCCCATGAAGGCTGATATTGCCCCTACATAGGACCAATATTAAAAATCTAGACATCCCAATATTGGTTCCTCGGTGCATGTTCATATAGGACACATATTGATCTAATTTTGAGCGCAGCTGGGGCCAAGGTAAAATTGTTGCTAGGGTAGGGCAAATTGAATTGTATTTTTACATAGAGAATCACTTTGCAAAGGCAAATAAACAAAAAAAAAAGTAAAGCAGTCTAACTAAACTTCTAACTTTTTTAACAGTCTAACTAAAATAACATTTAGAAAATAAAACCAATTTTTCTCTTTCATTTTGCTTCAACGTCGAATGGAACACAAGTTACGATTAAAAAGAATTATTTGTTTTAATTATTTCAATGATTGTGCCTTTTTTTTTTGTTCTTTTTCTCAACTAATTTTTAGGTTATTTTTCTTCATTTTAAATGTACTATCTCAAAATATTTTAGTTCAATTTACTTGAAATTTTGCATTAATGTTTTCCATGCATATTGTCTGGAGAATAAACGACGGACTAGTTGATTAAACTATTATATTTTACAAATAAAATGACATAGCAATTTTTGTCTTTTTTTGACAAATAAGTTTCGACTTTTGATGTAAAATATCTATTATATCTAATGCGTTGTTTATTCTCTATTTGGTTTAAATCTAACTTTTCTTGTATTTAGATTCACGGGACACTATTAGCTTGACACCTTTTTTGCTGTTTTTCAAATATAAAAATATTTAAAAAAATTTTTTTTTTACATGGGGATAATATAATTCAAAATAATGGTGGTGTACTACTTTGATAAATTGTATGATACAATGAATTTTTAAGATCCATGGGTTTGATATTAATATATTAGTCTATGTGTTAGGTAATGCAAAAGACATGTCAAAATTAAGGTTTTTTAAATTTCAGATAATTTCTGTGGTATATATGCATTATCCAGCATTATTTCTTTCCAAAATTGATTATTTTTCTTCGAAGCATTAGAAATGGTAAGATTAAAAGACAGTGTCTAAAATGTAGCTCAGAATTTTTAATTTTAACAACTATTTGATAAATAATAGTTTAAATTATAAATTTTTAATATAACTGTTTCATTAAAATATTTTGAGTACATTGTTTCAGACAAACATTGTATAAAAACATTACTATTTGAGGACTATGTAGGTAGGTAGATACTTTACGTCGCAATAGAGTTGCAAAATGGGCTATTGGTGACGGCCTGGGAAACTTCCTTGAGGATGATCATCACAATTTCGATCCTTTGCAGAGGGGATGGGTTCCCCACTTTGGTACCCCGATTACCTACGCGCAAAGGTGAGCACTTTACGGATGAACAGTTTAACATCAAAGTGATCACCCAATCGCTTACTGACCACAGCCGGTGACTTGACTTCGGTATTCTATTGCGAACCGTGTTCTTAGAATCAGTCCACTGCGGAACCGAAAATGATTAGTTTTTCCCTAACCATTAAAAATAGAATAAAAATTAAGAGTGTCAATGAATTAATTAAAAACTTTTAAATTTTATTTTGTAATTGCAATTGTAATTTGTTTAAAGTTTTAAATTATGCTCTTATAATACAACTATCTTATTGAAAACATTTAGTATATTACTTTAGAACGGGATAGTTTTTTGTTACGATTTTAACAATTATTCATTATGCATAAATAAATAATACTCTTAAGTTTTATTTTAATACTAGTTGTTATTTCACACTTTAAAAATGTGAGATTTAAAAAAAATATTTCTGAAAATAAATTCAAAAGCTTTAAGTATCACTATTTAATATGAAATTTAAAATTCATAAATTATCCTTAACACTATAATATTTTGTATCCGTCTGAAATTTGTGAAAGTGAAAACTAGTGTGGCATGCGTTATAAAATATTACACAATGGCTCAATAAGATTAAATAATGTTGAATACTTCTTTAATAACTTATTTTTAAAATCTGAGTAAAGATTTAGCAATTAATTGTATTTCGTTTTCAATTTCAGATGATAGAAGAGTAACCTGAAAACGATTTATTCCTCAAAACTCTCCTGTAGAAAAGTGTTCCTATTCTATCTTGCTATGGAAGCTGTTCATCTAGTCTTTGTTTTGATTTCGGCATTTGTCTGCTTAAAGACAGTCAACTCTATAGAATATTCTGATTTAGAAGCCATGGGGATCAACTGTCCAAATGCGGTCAGTTGCGTCTTCATAGACAATTCGAACTTCACCAAACGAAACTGCGAATGTGATCGCGAATGCGTCGTCTACCAGGACTGTTGCCTCGACGCCACAGTTCGCGCGACATCGCGAAGCAGAATGAATTCTGCTTTTACTTGCATGTCCTTTGGAAGGGAGCCCAACGTAGGAGCTTACGTCGTCCAAACATGTTCCAGGAATTATAACGGTCTTGCCGCAATGCAACGCAAGTGCCAGAATCAGAATAATATTAGTGACCCACTTATGGCTGCTCCAGTAACAGATACTATAACGGATACCTCCTACAGGAACAGGTACTGTGCCGAGTGCAATAACGTTGATCTTTCTAACATCCAAAGCTGGCTGATTCAGATGGATTGCGACTTCACTGTGACTGTCAATGTGAGCAACAGCTTCATCTGGCAGAATCTCCAGTACAGACCTGATATGAACAAATGGGGTGTTAATATCAACAACAATTTCTATACCTGTGATCTAAATTTCGAAATACCTGCTTACTTACAAACTAAAACCAGACTTTGCCGTTCCCGTGTGGTATCCACCTGTCCCAGGACGTATTCTCGTATGATGGTGAAACGCGAATGCGAGTCGTATACAGCCATCACCTACGTCATAGGCAGCAACACAGTGTACAGGAATCCTCACTGTGCAATTTGCAATGGTATTGCTGTTGGCTCCTTGAGGTGTGATCCAGGTGTGATGCCTAGAAAGAAGAAACCATTCTCTTTTGCTTTGTTGTTAGATGTGAATCAGAGCGATGGCGACGTTGTTGGCGTGTCTAGGCCGGGGGGTGAGAATTGTGGGCCGGACCAGAAATATGATCCCTATTTCAAGAAGTGCCGTAATTTGGTTTGTGCTCTTCCAGGATATCAAATGGTTAATGGTAAATGTAAAAAACCAGGGTAAATCGTTTAATACGATGCCAATTATCAGTGCCAAGCATAGTTCTAGTTATATTTTAAATTAACAAAAACTCTAAGATGTAATATTTTTTAATGATTTGTATTTAGTCATGTACAGCAAGTGTAAATAAAAATTTTAATTTTAATGTTTGTATAGCTGAAATTATTTTTTAACAAGAAGGATGGGTGAACTTGTTTCATAATACATACGGTTGATTTAAAAAAAAATTATGTGTATTTTGACCATGTTGAATGTGTATTCTGACCTGGTTGTATTCTCGGGTGCGAAATAGATTAGTCCCACTTATAAAAAAGAAGTGAAATAAAGGATTGGAAAGTTCTTGATAAGATTAAAGGATTATTAAAGTTGTTCTGCAGCTTAAAATTATAAATATCTCTTTATGCCTATAAAAATGGTAAAAATTTATGGCTTTCTTTCTAGCTTGAAGTCACCGAAACTAATTAGAACTTTAAATTCTTTTTATATAAACAGACAAAAAATAGCTGAATTTTTTTAACAGCATTAAATATTTATAATTTAATTTTGGTTAACTGAAATTGCTCCGGTAAGCGCAACGAACCCTAGATAATTTAAATCATTGTTATCTGTATCTAATCATTCAACTAATAGATAATTAAACATATAGAATAAAAACTACATTTTTACATTTCCTTTATTTCAAACAATTATTGTAACTTCAAAAAATAGTATTTCAATAAAAAATTTAGAAATATGGTAAATTTCTCTCTTGACAGATGTTAAGTGAGCTCACTACAAATATCATTGTCAATCCATTAACGCTTGAATTTAAATGCAGTGACGCAAAAATAAACTACATATTAAAGAAGTCGTTATTTGTTTTAGCTAAAAGAATATTTTCTTCTGCTAGCTACTAAAGTTTTTAAAAGAATCGAAACATTTGTTTAATGTGCAAACACTCTTGTTTCAGACTTGAAAAATTCTCGTAATTCACGTGACTTATATATCACGCTGGGTCAGCATTGGTTTTAGAGTAGTTGTATACGTATTTTGTCATTCTCCATTTCTTAGGTGGCCTGGAAGTACAAATTCTGCGCATTTTCGCCACACGTTTAATCGTGTCTTCTGTGGGCTTTTCAACCTTCAAAATATCTTCAATGCTTATGCGCGAAGCAACGAATTTGTTGCTGCTGCTGCAGTCGGTATGAAGACTCCTTTAGACAACAATTACAGCAAAACAGGAACATCTGAATTGTTGGTGGATCTATTAGACGAATGTTTAGCTATCTAGGGCTAATTATTGAACAACCTACAATTGTTTTTAAATGCACGTTGAGGAATATTCAACATTTTTTCATTTTTATCTGATCTAAAATAACTTAAATACTAGGAATGTTAAGATAAGTTTGTTGGGTTATGTGGGAAAAAGAAGAGTTGATGACAGTGAAATGGTTAGTATGAACTTGTGGAATTTCATTTGAAAATCAAATAATAAGTCGAAGTATATGTAAAAGACCAGCTGAGAAATCCGGCTTTTTGCGCTATATCATCCTTGTCGAAGGTATGTTCAGGATTTTTTGATGAACTCAATACATTTTAGGTTTATTGCAATGGAATCTGCTAATGAAAAAAATTGTTCAATTAGCCTAAACTAATATAAGCAGTTTTCAAAATAATAATAATAAATGAATAAAAAAATACTTTTAAACTAGTTGGATTAAATTGAATTATCTTATTGAGCTTGTTCGATTAATCTGATTTACTATACTTGAATACTTAAAGAGCTAGCATAATACGAGGAATATTACATAAAGTTTATGCGAATTCGGGCTGATTAAGTAACTTGCTTAAGGGATGGGCTCATTTTAGTTTGAAAATTATCAATTGTAATAGAAATATTTAAACTAATTAAAAGCCTTTGCGCAGAATTACGAAACTAGTTTATCCAAAGATAATATGCAAGAGGTAAAATTTTTAAGTTATATATTATAATTTTATTGAATAAAAGTCTAAGCATTTTTGTAAATCATCTTTATCTTTGTATTTAAAATCTGATTCTGTGTGAAATTGATTTTTTTTTTTGTAAAATCAAACTGTTTCTGAGATATAAAATTAGATCTGAGATATGGCAATTCTGGAACAGTTTTTTTTAAATCTATTTTTTATATCGAGCAATTTTTTTTTATATCTAAATCAAAAGTTTATATAAGTATAAGATTTTGTATAAGATTCTAAAGATCATTTTTTATTTTATTTTTCTAATACAAATCGTTGATGCAATTTCGTTATTACTTTGAAATAATTTAAGATAATCAAATGAATAAGTTAAATAAATTTAACTAAATAAATTTTAAAAAATTAAATAAACACAAATAATAATTTTTTTTTTGTAATCCACCCAAACTAGGTTATCGCCTAGAAAATGCTTTGAATTTGTGTAATAACATTTTGTTGAAAATATGACGTGAAATTGGCAAAGATAAGATGTTGATAGTTTGATCAGCTAAACAACCAATGAATTTTTGGAGGACAAAAAACCGCATTCGAACAAATTTTTTAAACATTTCAATATTCAAATGCATGCTCGAATCGAAGTTAATTTCTTTAAAAAACGTTTAAGACGTTTGTTTATGTTATGAGATATCTACCGATAATAAGAAGCATTTCTGTTGCCTTGAACTTTAGCTGACTTCTGGTACTGAGTATTTTCTTTTTTTTCAAGAAGCTTAGAAACTTTGACAGAAGATTTGAAGATATGGAAAGAACAAAGTTTACACATTGCGCATTTTCTAATTTTTGTTTTCGAAAGAACTAGCAAATTCTTTTTTCTTTTTTTTTACGAGTAAACATTATTTTTATAAATATTATAACGATAGCTAGTTTGCCGATTGATGTTTAGATTAAATTGGATACCGCTTAGTTTTAAAATGTTCGTATTGTAAAATCGTATTTCCCCCCCCTGTAGTTTCTGTAATAAGTAGGTATTTACGAGATAAGGTTGTTAACCCTATGCTCAACCTCAAACATGGAGGCCCAGGAATTTTATTTGTTACATATAATTAATTTGTTTAATCGCGTTGCACGTTTACTTTCAAATAATTAGTTAAATTAATCAGTAATTATTAGTAACTCTGAGCTATATTTTTTATGATTCTAGTTATTTTTCTTATTCTACCTAATACATCTCAAAACAATTTTTTTTTAAATCAATTATTTTACCACAAAATAATTTCATCATTATGAAGATTGAAAAATAATTCTATACAAAACAGTAATTTATAATTAATTTATAGTCTCCTTAATTGTATATTTGAAACTAATACGTATATGTTAATGAGCTTCTGAAAGAAAAAATTATTCAAAATTCTCCAAAATTCAAAATTTCGAGAATTGAAATCCTCAAATTTTTTGTTTTAAACTTTTAATGCATAATCTCAGAAAGAATTTTATATATGCAAAACACCAATGCAGAAAATGTGGTAGAGTATATTAGCCTTAGTTCATATCAAATGGATAAATCTTTCTGCAATCTAACACTTTAGTTTTAATAAAGTGCTGCGCATTGACGTATGATTCATACACAAATATCTGTATTTTTTATGAATAATTATGATAGACAGAACTATCTTTTTACTCTAAAATTACTTCAATTTAACTTCAAAATAAACTCTAATAATGAAACCCTTGTACCACCATCTTTTTTTTATTTATAAAGGGGAAGACCTTTTAATAGGACGCTAGACTTAAATGGGCTAATACTATTTTATCACTCGAAGAATTTGTATTTTTTTTAAAAAAAATTATTTACTTTACGATTAGTAATGTTTCTAATTTCTCTTCTATGCGGTCTTAGTCAGCTCTAAAACCTTATGTATTGTCTGGCAATCACGAGTTAAGCTCCCGTCATTAGCGAGAGCCATTTTATGATATAATTCTCAGATATTAGTTGGTTCATACTTTATGAAAAAATCAGCTCAACATTGAAATATAATGTTAGTAAATTGAATCATAATTCATTGTAATGCAACCTTAAACCTTTTAAAAGAAAGCTAGACACAAATGAGTTGATACTATTTTACATTTCGTAGAATTTGCATTTAAAAAAATATTTACCTTAGATTCTGAATTTTCTTGTATGCTGTCTTATTCAACTCTAAGGCTGTATTGTCTGGCAATCACGAGATAAGCCCCTGTCCTCACTGAGTGCTCATTTTGTGATTTGATTCCCGGGTGTTAGACTGTCCATACTTTATGAAAAAGTCAGATCAACATTGAACTATAATGTTAGTAAATTCAATAATAATTCATTGCAATGCAGACTTAAACCTTTAAAAGAAAGCTGGACACAAATCAGTTGATACTATTTTTATATTTCGTAGAATTTACATTTTTTAAAAAAAATTATCGACCTTAGAATTTGTAGTATTTCTAAATTTACTCGTATGCGATCGTGTTCAGCTCTGACAAGGGAAACTAGGGAAGTGTGACTCGCCAATTTTGAAATAAACTAGTGGGATGTATGCCTTATGAGGAATAACTTTAGGGGGCAACATTCGTTTCGGCCCATAGAACGTCCTATGAGAGATAAAAAATAATTCAATATATGGAAAAATCAGTATTTTATTACTTCAATGCAGACTATTAGTTATTGTAATTGTCTCATACTCCAATTAATTTGTAATTAATTGGATAATTAATTACTTTCAAGTACTATATAATGCATATTTATTGTTAAAATTGATTTTGAAAAATTTATGTATCTGCAGTTTTTCAGAAAAACCTGTTAGGTTAATTTTAAAAAAAAAAAATTGACATCAAATTTTTATAATTTTTTTTTCAAAAAACTTTCCAAATTAATTGGAGTATGTAATTGCAAATCAATTAATTAATTAATAATTTCTGATTAATTTATTAATTAAAAAATAATTAATTATCCAATTAATTACAAATTAATTGGATTATGAGACAATTACAATAACTAATAGTCTGCATTGAAGTAATAAAATACCGAATTTTCCATATATTGAATTATTTTTTATCTCTCACAGGACCTTCTATGGGCCGAAACGAATGTTGCCCCCTAAAATTGTTCCTCATAAGGCATGCATCCCACTAGTTTATTTCAAAATTGGCGAGTCACACTTCCCTAGTTTCCCTTGTGAGGCCTTAT